GGACCGATCCGATACGTAATATTGGATCGGTCCATCTCTAATCTGTAGTGGAATACATTTTAAAAGTAACCTTCCCAACGCTGCCTATGAGCGAGCACTTGGCAACAGTGGGAAGGAAAAAAACTCAGTTTTAACAGCGGGCTCAGGGAGGGGCGGGGCGGGGCCATCTGCCACGAGCTATTGAGAGGAAAAGCAGAGAGCAGAGCACTTGTTATTTTCATTGTCATTGTGAATAAAAATATTTAATGTGCCTGTTTTTTTTTTCATACAGCGAATCTCACTCCAGCGCAGCTCAGAAGAATTTAAGGAGGCTGAAGCTCTTTTCTATAAAACCATGAAAGACTGTGACATCACCAACATTGAGAGGATTCAGAACAAAGATCTATGGGAAAAATTTCAGATGTACGTATTTCATTGAATGTGCACCCATCTTTCACTGTGAGTATAAAGTTACTGTACCACTGCTGCCAGCTAAAGTGAGGTTATGATTGTGTAACTGATATGACTGAGCTTTTTATTAAAGTGTATATAGTATTACCAGCTGTCAGTTCGCTGAGGTTCGCAGGCATTCATTTATGCACCGCTCTGTTAAAGCCCTGCATTCCATTCAGGATTCATTCAGAGATGGCCTCACATTTGACCAGTGATGGGAATAACGATGTTCTAAGTAATGGCGTTACTGTTTTCAGTAACGAGTAATATAACTAATTACTACTACCTATCGTTACAACGCCGTTACTAAAATGCGGTGCAGTTGTGTTACTATTTTTCAACAAACTGACGGTTGAAGCTGTGTTCGGGTTACCGCATCTTATATCAGTTGCACGGAAGTAGCTGTAAGTAATCTGGGCGCTACAGCTTTAAGCAGCTGTGCACTCCCGCGGATGGCAATCACTGCTCACTTGTTGTTTAGCAGATTCATTCAGAAAGGAAATATTTGAACAAACTCAACGAGTCGCTGGCATTTTTTCTGCCCGACGATCACTTTTTGGCAAAACACCTGGAGCTAGGGGGCAAAACAATCGCATGAGTGCTGCTGTTTGACTGAGGAAGAATAAAGTAGTCGTGGTAAGCCAATCACA